ACATGGCTTTTCCAGCAAGCGGACCTGACCTAGGGAGGATTTTATATGGGGTTTATTTCTTTTTTAGTAATTTGACAGAGACACAACTTTAAAATTTGATTTAATTCGGTTTTATCGGGGGGGGAATGTATTTATGTTTTGTTTTAAATATGTTGTGCGCCGCCCTGAGTCCCGTCGGGAGAAGGGCGGCATATAAATTTAAAAAAAAAAAAAAAGTGTTAATACCACTTTACAAGGCCTTGGTAAGGCCACACTTGGAATACGGCATCCAGTTTTGGTCACCACGCTGTAAAAAAGATGTTGAGACTCTAGAAAGAGTACAGAGAAGAGCAACAAAGATGATTAGGGGACTGGAGGCTAAAACATACAAGGAACGGCTGCTGGAATTGGGTATGTCTAGTTTAACGAAGAGAAGGACGAGGGGGGACAGGATAGCAGTGTTCCAATATCTCAGGGGCTGCCCCAAAGAAGAGGGAGTCAAGCTATTCTCCAAAGCGCCTGAAGGCGGGACAAGAAGCAACGGATGGAAACTCATCAAGGAGAAAAGCAACCTAGAACTAAGGAGAAACTTCCTGACAGTGAGAACAATTAACCAGTGGAACAACCTGCCTCCAGAAGCGGTGAATGCGCCAACACTGGAAGTTTTTAAGAAGAGACTGGACAGCCATTTGTCCAAAATGGTGTAGTGTTTCCTGCCTGAGCAGGGGGTTGGACTAGATGACCTCCAAGGTCCCTTCCAACTTTTTATTATTATTATTATTATTATTATTATTATTATTATTATTATTATTATTATTATTATTATTATTATTATTATTATTATTATTATTATTATTATTATTATTATATGCTAGTTTAGTATGCGTGAGTCTGGAAGGCTGCTTGTTCACCTCTGAGAGAAAAACATTAAGATGATGCTCATTAGAAAGTTTGAAGAAACTGTACAAATATCAATTCCATGGAGTTTTGTTTCCCAGATTTCGGATGCCTTTTGTAAGTTAGTTCCTTTGAGGTACTTTGGTTCAAAAATTGTGGCCATTTTGCCCAGTTAAAGGCTTCAGGAATGAGAATTTTAGTAGTTATAGGGATGGTTTAGCATGAAGCCTCCATCCTGGCCTGTGGAATTGTCTCTTTATGCACCCTTCAAAAAACAGACTTCCCTCTTAGGACCTGCAAGAACTGGCAAATGAAATGGGTGTGTGTGTTCCTGTGTCTTTGTGTTTGTGTGTGCGTGTGTGTCTGTTGCTTTACAGCAGTGCTTTTTTTTGGGTGGACTTCAACTCCCTAGAGCCGGCTGGGGAATTCTGGTAGTTGAAGCCCACCCATCTTAAAGATTGAAAAACACTGCTTTAAAATAACAGCATTTATTGCTTCTAACAAGGTGGGAAAGCTTCCATCTGCAGCCCGGCATTAAATGAGACAAACTAATCCATAAAATGTATTTTTTTTGTGTGTGCCTTTGGCAAAGAACTCTGACTCTCCAGATCAGGGAAGGAGGCATTTGGTGTCCGCCACCCAGGCAAAAGCCCAGCGTGAGAACCAGGAAGGAGGATGCTAGTCTCTATTCTGAATTTTCGTTATAAGAAGCAGATCGTGGGCTGGCTCATTTGTATACAGTAAGTATAGTTTCAGGATAAGAGCTGAGTTTGTGCCTCTGCAACGCCTTGTGTGGGCAGCAATTGGGCTGCACTTTCTCTGGGAAATTACAGTAAATAGGGGAGGGAAAAAATTGTCCATGGATGCACCTTTCTTTTCTTTTCTTTCTTTCTTTCTCTTTCTTTCTTTCTTTCTCTTTCTCATTCTTATTCTCTCTTTCTCTCTCTGTCTTTTTCTTTCTATATAAATCTTTTTTCTTTCTTTCTTTTTCTTTTCTTTCTTTCTTTCTCTTTCTATCTTTCTACCTTTTATCTTTCTCTTTCCTTCTCTCTCTTTCTTTTTTCTTTTTCTTTTTCTTTCTCTCTCTTTCTCTTTCTCATTCTTTCTTTCTCTCTCTGTTTTTTTCTTTCTTTCTTTCTTTCTATATTTTTCTCTTTCTTTTCTTTCTTCCTATCTTTCTACCTTTTTTCTTTCTCGCTTTCCTTCTCTCTTTCTTTCTCTCTTTTTTCTTTTTCTTTTTCTTTCTTTCT